TTCTTCTTTGCTCTGGATGAGGAGAGACCCATTGTTGCATCTAGATGGCTGCTTGCAAGCTTTTAAGATCCCAGTCGCTACTTGCCAAAGTAGGACATGGAACAATGGTTTTGTATAGTATGTTATGCCAATTGAGCTTGATGTCCTCTGCAACTATGGTCCTGCACCCACAGGTCCAACTACTTGCTCCCTCTAGGTAGCTGGCTATGGCTGAGAAGTGACTACAACCTTGTCCCTTCCTGGGAATTCTTACAGAACATATAAATACACTGTCTGAAATACACTGAAACATTATCTGCCAACCCTAGTGTGTCTTGGGCACACTCCCCCCTGCATAGACATACCTAATAGTTCAGCCTGTCCACCCTTCTAATGAATTCGTAGGGACCACATTAGGTCTGCCATGTTATTCCGGGTATGGCAAACTAAGAATTAGGTCCCAATGTAACACTGCCCACTGTTTCACAGAAATTAACGATTCCCAATGCAATGATGACCCTGAATGGAAAGCTGTCTCAAAGTCAAAAAGTAGCTAAAACAAAAGACAATCTGCCTTGTATATAAGAAGTAAAGGTCTGGCATTAATGAGAGAACTTAAGAATACAGACAAAAGTGAGCAAAGCATATAACATCTAGAACTATTTGTGCACATAGATGTTCAAGGCACCAAAATTTATACTCTACCTTTTAAGACCATATCTGATAATATCTCTCCAAGTTTCAACAGAAGGGCTGTCCCTATACTGGATTTTGCGCTTCCAGCACCCCAAGCATCTCTCTGGGCCCCAAGTATAACATAGCGGTCTTAAAGGAAAAAAAGTAGAGAAATTAGCTTTTAAACCATTTTTCTAATACTGATATCTATAATAACAGAACAGTAAAAACGTTGTAGCATATATATTAATTATAGGAGAGTTTTACTTCAGATATGACTTTGGACTCCAGGGATTAAAAACTGAATGACAATACCAGTAATCCTGTTTTTCCTTATTAGTATTGCTCGAACAATTAATTTCACTCATTACTTGTTTGTACTCACTAATTATTTAATATACAATTAAGCCCAAGGGTTTTCCTTACTAAATGATATGATTATTTGATTGCTTTTAATGGATAGTCTATACCAGGGATCTGCAAACTACAACTTGCACATCCAAGGTATTTGTTAGTTAGGTATTTGTCTATGGCTGTTTTCACACTATAGTGGCAGAGTTGAGAACATTGCAGCAGAGATCATAGGTCCCTTAAAATGTTTATCTGCTCTTAGTCTGCTTACTGCTGCTGTCCTCAACACCTTAAAAATGAATATTCTAGTTATAATGGTCAGTTTTTAACAAGCCCACTTCCTAGGGCCCGGCCACCCCGCCCCCAAAATCAACACCTAACTGATTCAATATGAAACGGGCATTTCACAAAATCCAGCCAAGACAACCTTCTTGTACTCCCTCCTCCTCCAGTCACATCTTTAAGAACAGCAAGAAAAACAGATGGGAAAAGACCCACACAAAACAGGTCTTTACCTGGTTCCTCAAAGCCTTTGATAACTCCAAAGATGTTCAAAATTCTCGTCTCTTTCAGCACATTGTTCACAGTGAGCTTCACATTTCTGCCCGGTAAAGATACCATCTTACATGAAGAGTGTGCTTTCCAGCTAGAAGGGCACTTTTGGTCCATATTTTCAGAACTAGAAAACAGGGATCAGAGTTCCGTGTTACTGTTACTTCCTCCAGGTTTATAAAACCAGTTCTACTTTCTGCCTGGTAAAGTTCTCTGCTGGGTAAGAGAACATGTAAAATTTATTCCCTAGTGGTCAACCATTTGTGTCTTATTCTGATCTGTAAGCAGTCAAGTCATTTGAAAGCCATGAGTTACTTTTCAGTTTAACCAATGGTTTTTTAAACATTTTTACCTAAATCCATCTGATGTATGCCTTTCTGCCAGAGACACAGGTACAGTTTGTACTTGAAATACATACCAAGAAGGACTCAGAATGAAGTTCTTCAAGTCCCTTAGTAGATTAGTGGTTACATAGGGCTGGGAGGGAGAATGGGGTAGTAAGGGATGACAGCTACATGGTATAGGTCTTTCTTTGACATGATAAAAATGTTCTAAAATTGACTGTAGTAATGACTACACATATCTGTGAATATACTAAAAATTATTGAATTGTATACTCTCAACAGGTGAGTTATAAACAGATTATATCTCAATAAAGGTACTTAAAAATGACATAAACTAATCAGATTGGGCATAGAGGCTGTTTTTTGCTTGGGGGCAGCTCTATTTTAAGGCTTGGGCCCCAGGTAGGTGGGCCTGGGGCTTGGAGGCTGCTTTTCCCTATATTAAGGCCAGGGCCTAGGGTAAGCAGGCACAGGGTGCAGAGGCTGTTTCTCGTTTGCGGGCGGCTCTATTTTAAGGCCAGGGCTGAGGTAGATGGGCCAGGGCCTAGAGGCTGCTTTTCACGTGGGGATGGCTCTTTATTAAGGCAGGGACCCAAGATAGATGGGCCAGGGTTAGGAGATACTTTTCACTTGTGGGTGGCTCTATTTTAAGGCCATTGCCTGAGGTAGGCAGGTACAGAGGGGTTAGGAACAACTGCAGGAGATGAACTTGTCTGTCAGTTTGTTGTCCTATGGTGGCTTACGTGTTGCTTTGAGGCTGGAGGCTATGCCACCATGTTGCAAAATGCCAGCAGGGTTACCCACGGTGGACAGGTTTCAGCGGAGCTTCTGGGCTAAGACAGACTCGGAAGAAGGAAGAGGCCATTCACTTCTCAAATGACTGGTCAGTGAAAACCTTATGAATAGCAGTGAATCACTGCCTGATATTTTACTGGAAAACTTATTTTTAAAGAAGGATACTAATAAACTAGGGAGGATAGCTAGAAGAACTTATCATGACTTATCTGGAAACTGTTATAAGAACTAAGGATATTCAATCTGTAGACAATGAAATTTGAATTGCTCTGTGTTACTAAAAGAAAATCCAGAATAAATGGGTGCTACAGGAAATAAGATTTCAGTTCAACATGAATTGTACCAGAACTCCAATAATTGAGTGAGTTTCCATGGGCAACAGAGTACTTCACCACAGGAAGTACTCAAACAGAAACTATGTCAGAACATTGCACAAGGAATTCACTGGGTATACTGAGCAAGGGCTCCATGAGGTTAAAAACCCAGCAACTATTAAGATCACTTAACAGGGGAAAAATTTCATTTTAACTGTTCCTAAAATTCCCAAATGTGGAAAATTATAGCCATTGTTTTAAGATTTTATCAAATGAACTTAAACAGTTTAGTATTCTTCCCTAATCATAAAACTTCACCTATAAGACAGTTTTCAAATAAGAACTTACTTAAACAGCTGCTCTGCAGCATATCTGGATATTGTTTGTACAGGTATATTAGGCAATCCCGATGACTGAGATGGTGGAAACTGAGTGTGATTAAAGGAAGGAAATCCAGGTGTATAAGGGTCACCTGTTCCCAGATGGGCCTATTAAAACAAAAGAATAAGTATATCTATTAGGCACTTAGTCAAGAACTTCTCTGTAATATTCAGATTCAATAAGGCTATAAGCAGCCCAAGCTTAGTTTAGGATCTTACATGTCTGAAACTTTGGAATAGCTCTACACATGTTGTTTTTATATACAATATACCAAATTCCCAATTCAAGATACTATTGATAAAGTATTTTTAGCAACAAGTAATAACTAGTTTGTGAAGTCACATAACCCATCTTCTTGCTTACTGTTTAAACTGTCTGAGGGAAAAAAAAATGTTTTAGAAAGTCACAGTTTGGAAAACCCACACACTCATTTACTCAAGAAGTAAGAACTCACATGTCCAAAGACTGGAAGTGTTGCCTCAACAATGGGAAAGTCAGCATAGTCCATATATATCAAGACACCAGTTGCATTGAAGCTTTCAGCATTTGCAACCTAAGAAAAACATGTAAAGCTCAGTAAATGAAAATCTGAATGCAATAAAATGGAAAGAATACATACTGGACTTTATGCTACAGGGCAATGGTTACCTGACACCATAGAGGACTAGACTAGACTGATCCTCCCCAAATACATCAAAAGAGCTTATATTTAGGGAAGGAGCTGGGAAAACATGTCCCTTGTAACTAACTCATGAAGAAGAAGTAAGGGGAGAAATAATAAAAACTCAATCAATCTGCCTTTTGATGTTTCATTCTAGTCCTTGGGTAGTAGGTTTGTTTTTTAGATTTATATAAAACAAAAGGAGCCCTTTTGTTTTAAAAAAATGGTGGTGCAATGGTTAAGGACTCAGCTACTAACCAAAAGTTTGACAGTGTGATCACCAGCTGCCCCGAAGAAGATGTGGCTGGCGGTTTACTTCCGTCAAGATTTTATCACCTTGGAACCCCTAAGGGGCAGTTTTACTGTGCCTAAAGAGTCACTATGAGTCGGAGCTGACTAAAGGACAATGGGTGTGGTTTTTATAAAAGAGTCATAGTTGAATTCTACATAAACCTAAAACTCAGTTACATAGATACAATTTAAGCTGCTTTCACTCAAGCATTTCTAATTATTTTCACTAAAAGACAATGGCTGCAAAATACAGATATGCCATAGTTTTTAAGTAACTAAGATAATTGGAATTTATTTGAATTAAGCACTCTGATAAATTATATTATTGAGTCTGAGAGCTCAGAATTGCTATTACTCAGAACTCAGGAAAATTAACAAATACCATTTAAGTGAAGAATGCTGTGGTAGCAATGTTATTTAATAACCCACACTCACCTTTTCAGCAAAAGTGATTTTCCCTGCTCTGACAATCACTAAAGATCCATCAACAGAAGACTTCAAATTCTCAAAGTCTGTTTTAGTGCCAAAGTTAACATGGACCAATTTACCCTAGAACAAAGACATTAAATTAAATGAGTATTATGGTATAAAATCAATCAAAGAATCTGAGACAGAAGGGTCTTTACAGATTAAACTTAAGAGAGCAAAAATCAGAGGCCAAGGCCCCGAAATGACATATGAGAGCTCTAAAGTCAAAACTGGTCAGGTTATCAGGAATGAAACCTAGAGTTCTCGCCTCCTGAATTCATCTTTCATTATCCTATGCTGTTTTCAACCTAAAGGGTATTTTATAGATTTTTGTTGGAAGAGAAAGGGTAACAGGATGTGCTAACAGTGACATATACCAATATAAACACTATATATAGACTAGTCGTGGCAGCAATTATACGTGGTTCCCAAACCTGAACCCTAGACAGTTAAGTACATATACAGGGACAGGTTTTAATGAAAAGTTTGATAACACATCTGTTCACACATTGTTAAACACATCTATTACAATAAAACAGAAGAGCTCTGGTGGTGTAATGGTGAAGGCAATAAGATGCTAACCAGAAGGTTGGTGGTTCAAACCTACTAGGTGCTCTGCAGGAAGAAGATGAGGCAATCTACTTCCATAAAGATTTACAGCTTTGAGAGCCCAATGGGGGTTGCTATGAGTTGGAATCAACTCGATGGCAGTGGGTTTTTTGGTTTATTACAATAAAGTGACTTGCACAGGCCAATGTTTAGATGTTTATCATAATTCTGTTTCTAAACTTTCAACAGAGTATACACAGATGGCTACAAACTGATGTTATCAATCAAGTACGTGAATAAAGAAAGCTTGGAGGTAAATTGAAACCTTCAGTGTTTCCTAACAGAATAATCCATCCACCTCTAAACACCTGGTGTGTAGCCAGGAAAAGCGATACAGCACAGCTAACCAGGAAGGCAGAGAATGATCATAAAACTTCATGGGCTTGGTAGGTACTCACTAAACATACAGACCCCTCACATACAAATATGTGGTATTTAACCTGAAAATCATCTATTTCATCTATTTTTATAGTAGTTTAGCCATATTGACCTAAATTTGAAAAGATATTTATATTATGTAAATGTAAGAATTATGGTAAGATTAGACCACAGTCAAAGAATTTGTCCTCACAAAAGGAGGATCTGCTATAAGGATTTATTCAGCAAATACTGCCATGCGACAAGCACTGGCCAAAGTCTAAGACATGGCAGAAAATGAAACCAACTTCTACTCTGCCACACAGTGTACATTCTAATGTTGAGACTAGTGAATCTATATCAGGTGCTATGATGCTAGGAAGAAAAATAAAGCAAGATAAGGGGAAAGTGATTAGAGACAATTTAGATAAGATAATCAGGGAAGACCTCCCAAATAAGATAATATCAGAGAAGAGACTGCACCAAGTAAGGAAAGGAGCCATGTGGATAGCTCAGCAAAGAGTGGTCCAGGCAAAGGGAAAGGCAAGTATAAAGGCCATGAGGTGGGAACATGCTTGAGTTTGAATGTTTGTGTCACAGTAAGGCAGTCAGGGTAGCCACAGCAGGGTGAGTTAGGGAGAAGAGCTACAGAATTATTTAGGGCCTTGTAGACCAAGCTGATGACTTTGGATGTTAACTGTGGCAGAAAGACAGTGGAGGCTGAAAACAAGAAAATCTCATGATCAACTACATTTCACAAATAAATATGTAACCCACAAACACAGTGTTAAGGATTAAATTGTGTCCCTCAAAAATATGTGTTGTAAATCCTAACCTCTAGGCCTATGGTTATGATCTCATTTGGGAATCGACTGTCTTTGTTATGTGAACGAGACAGGATTTTTGTAGGGTGTATCTTGTGTCTTTTGAGACACAAAAGAGATTCAACAAGCAAGCAGAAGCAGAGACGAGGAGGAGAAATGCAGTGCCATATGAAGATCACCAAGGAGCCAATGAACGCAGGGCCTACAGATGATGAAAAGAGACAAGGACCTTTCTCTAGAGTCAAAAAAGAGAGAAAGCCTCTTGAGCTGGTGCCCTGAATTCAGACTTCTAGCCAACTAATTGTGAGAAAATAAATTTCTGTTTGTTAAAGCCATCCACTTGTGGTATTTCTGTCATGGCAACACTAGGTAGCTAAACTGACAATGAAATCAATCAGTTTTTTAGTTATTCAGCAGGAAAAATAAGGCAGGTGGCATTGTTTTTCTTACTTACAGTAACTGTCGTAGCCTTACTGTATGCCACATAACCCTCAGGATCCTCCACCAGGGATATGGTTGTACCATTCACATCTGCGATACTTACTGAGTTCTGAGCATTGCTTTAAAAAAAAAAAAAAAAGGTTAAAATGAAGCTAAGTCCTTATTAGAAAAAAAATTAAACAGCTTTAATACATTTAGCATTTCACTTGCATTATTTGGCCCTAGGAAATTTATCTCATAATCATGGCCCTGATTTTTACTTTCAAAGTCTTTGCTATTTTTAGCACTACTTCCATAAAGTAAGTTTATCATCTTTTAGCATACCTGCTTTTGACCTGAGTCTTAACGTAATGTTCGTCACGCCAAACTTTGCTGAATTTAAATTCACGAAATTTATTTTCAATAAAAAATGCAAGGTTTTCATCTTTCTGAGAGCCAGCCTCACGAGGGACATATAAATTTTCATTCAGCTGTCTGGAGGAAAAAAGGTCACTGTTAAATGAACTAAAGTTTAATTTAAAATAAATATTTAACTCAAGGATCAAGCAAATTTTTTAAAAGGCATAACTCAGTACTACCTCTCATACTTAAGATTAATTAACCGTGATCCAAAACTTCTTAACTCACCAGATAGAGATAAATTTGAAAGAAGATCTAAAGTAACTTATGACTTTAAACTTGTTAAAACCTCTTTATCCACTGTAAAGTACTCCAAAAGCTCCATTCTGTTTTAGGATGTATTACATTAATATAATCAGGATATATTATATCAATGTGTCTGCTTCAGGTAGTCTTAGAGGATGTGAGTAGCTTTCAGAAGAGACATTGTAAGCAAAGTGACAGACAGCAATATTGTTGGTGAACTCAAGAGTCAAGGTGTATAGCTTTAATTTTCATCTACTTTGAAGCATTAGGAAGCCCCTGGAAGCAGAAATCCTCCTTGCTTAATCTTAGCTGTCCTGCTTCTTTGTAAATATACTCATCATATTAGTCATTGGACCAGTTTTTTGTAGACTTTGGTCACTTTCAATCTATAATGTCTAGGGTACAGTATACACCAAACTATTCACTGAATGAGTTAAAAATGCCAAGATTTTATTTTAAAAGAATTATAGTACCATTGAAATGGCTATATAGGAAGCTAGCAGAAGGTAAAAAAATAGAATTTATTCTTTACACACAGAATTAGATGTGCGCCTAAGGAAGACAACACCAATGTAAGGACAGAAACCTTAAGGATCCTTCTTGGAGTATGGATTAATGGGTAAGAACCAGTAGAATCAAGGAATACCACAGGCATATTAAGTTGGACAGTCCAGATAGGCATGAGCTACAGCACCACCCTGTGGACAGCTCAGCACATTTCAAAGAATAAGGATGGAAAATTAGAGAAAGATAAAGTCTGACAGCAAGCAATAAACTACAAAGAACCAGATGGCAGAAAAGATCAAGCACCAGTGAATTTTTTTTTCTCCTGAAGAATAATGCTCTACATTCACCTTTTTCCCTACCAACATAGTTTCAATTCTTTGCTGACCCCTTACCCCTTACCCTCTAGCTAAACATGGTAAGTACCCCCTATTCTAAAAGGCCTTTCTTTAACATCATCACCCTTGTTTTGTTTCACTATATCTAATAATCATTAAGTATTTTTAGACCTTGAGGTTAAACGTATGACCTATCAAGCTTACTTGATGATGCTGGTGAACTCTGCAGAATTCAGTTTCTGTGACAAAATTTTTTTGAGGTCTGCCCAAAATAAGTGAGTTGTTTCAGGAAAGATATCTGTCTCAGAGGTTTCTGAATCATCTGTCACTGAAGACTCGGTTCCTGGCAGTCTCTCACAGTCAGTTTTTGGTTCTACACGTTTACAATAGCCCAAGTAGCCAATCATAAATCCTAAAAATAAAGTTTCAGAGCTGAACTCACAGAATTTCATTTACAATCTATCCTTATAGCAATGTTTAATATTTTCAGCTAAGTCTTGAAAACACGAGTTTTAATCAAATTCTAAAGAGTTTGAAGGTAAATAATGCATCTCAGAGTTTTAAATCATCCCCACCCCAACCCCACTGCTATCAAGTCAATTCCAACCTACAGTTACCCTATAGGTCAGAGTAAAACTTCCCTATAGAGAGTTTCCAAGGCTTAATTCTTTACAGAAGCAAACTGCTTCATCTTTCTCCCATGGGGTGGCTGGTGGATTCAAACCACTGACCTTTTGGTTAGCAGCCAAATGTTTTAACTACAGCTCCAGAGTTCCACCATGCAATCCAATAAATTATCTACTAAAATTAGTTTAAATAATTAACTGTTCAAACCATAGGTACCACCTTTTCTTTCCAGAAGCCTTCCTTGAACCCCTCAACTGGGCTTCCATGTTACAAATATTCAGTGTATATTTCCAGTATAACATTTGTACCTTATATTGAAATAATGTTTCTTTCTTTTTCCATCACACTAAGCTAAATGGCAGGTGTAGAATCCTAGTTGTTATATTCCTAGTGCCTAGCACAATGGCACTTAAAAGGTACAAAGTAAATACCTTTTGAGCTGAATAAAAACATTCTGAGCTGAATCAACAGACTTCTCAGAGTTACTTCTAAGGAATACTTAATTTTTGGATGGGCATTCTTACCTATCAAGAAAAAGATGATTACAGCAATAGCACTACAGCAGATGCTGCCATTAAACCTTTTCTGTTTCATGACATTGGCAGGATTACTCCCCACGTTATTGTCAACATTTTCTTCTTCATCAGCTAGTTTCATTTCCACATGACTGTTATCGCCATCTACCTGCCGAGCCAGACTAAACCGGGTGTATGACAATGGTTCTCCGCCGAACTGACATTTTAAAAAAGAGAATGAAAGTGTTATGGAGAAGACAGGGAATACGAACATTTAAGAAAAGTTTGGTCAGGTACTATACTTGTTATTGCATCATTACTATGGCTCAATATACATTCTTAAGGAAAAAGAAGTTCCTCTTTCAAACTAGGGAGCACTGGTGGCACAGTGCCTAATGCATTTGACTGCTAACCAGAAGGCTGGTGGTTCAAACCCACCAGCCACTCCTCAGAAGGAAGACTGGGCAATCTACTTCCGTAGAGATACCCGCCTTGGAAACCCAAGGAGGGGTTGCTATGAGTCGGATCAGACTTGACGGCAGTGAGTTTGGCTTTTTTTTCTTTCAAATCAGCATTCTTCTGTGTGTCTGGTTCTGTTGATGGCACGAGTGCCAGATTATACTCTGACTTCCCTCATCTCATTCAGAGTTACTGTTATATTTGTCTACTACTATACAATTTGATTAAGGAGCCCTGGTGGTGCAGTGATGAAAGCATTCAGCTGCTAACCAAATGGTCAGTGGTTTGAACCCATCAGCTGCTCTGTGGGAGAAAGATGAGGCAGTTCTAATCGGTCGCATAGGGTCACTATGAGTTAGAATTGACTCTATGGCAGGGGGTTTGGTTTTTTTTGGTACACATTTTGTTAAGTGCTTTCTCTATTGCATTGTATCTACTTAGGTATCCTTTCCCATGATGCTATCCTCTTCCATGATGCCCAAACTACCTGAAGCTTCTTATAAGATTTTACATTATCAACCCAACTATAAACCGAGTAATACTCCTCATTTGTGGGATCAGTTATGCCTCACACCACCAGATCAAATGTAAATGAGTATCTGACAGTACCTTTGGGTATTATTTCATGCTTACTGGGCCAAAGTCTGAGAAGCCCTGGTGGTGCAGTGGTCAAAGTGCTAGGCTGCCAACCGAAAGGTTGGCAATTCAAACCCACTAGCTGCTCTGTGGGAAGATGTGGCAGGCTGCTTCCACAAAGATGTACAGCCTTGGAAATCCTATGGGGCAATTCTACTCTGTCTGATAGGGTCGCTATGAGTTGGAATTGACTCAATAGCAGTGGGTTGGGTTTGGTTTGGGGCCAAAGTTAATGCTCTTATGTACTTCATATTCTTACAAATTGGTGACAGAAACACAATTAGTAGAGCTTACCAAGTTAGAGAATGCTGATCTGGCTTGATCCATCATTCTAAGCTGCCACAGAGAGGAACCTAGTATAAAAATAGAGTTTATATCAATCATACCAGATTAGTGAGGGCTTTACAGTCCCAGGCTAGGTTATATATTCTTTTTAGAAAGAGTCTTTAACCAATTATTTAGTTTACATAAAAACTAAATTTTTTATGATCCTTGACTAGATCCTGAATTAGGAGTAGGGATAGCTATGAAAGACATCCTGGCACATATCATAAGAAATCTGAATATGGGTTATAAAAGACAATAGAGTATCACCTGGGGTGGAGGTGAAGAGGAAAACTGAAGTAGAATTAAGAGCATTTATGCTACAAAGACGAGTAACAAAGCATCTCCAATAGAAGAGAAGAATCCTAAATCCTTCTGATTAAGTTTGTACAAATGATTTGACAAGCTCTTTGATGCAAAAAGAATAGACAGAAGAAAAACACATATTATATTTTGTAACTGAAGAGGCCAGTTATCTGAAAGTTTCAGTGACAGTGACTTGTTTGACACCAAAAAGTGATAATCTGAAAATGAAGTCCAATAGGTTTGGGTCACAGAAAATGTGTTCTCATCTCTATAAATTTAAGATATAACTCTTAACTTTCTTTGAACCAAAGTGTACCTCTGTAACCAAAGGAGAGCCCTATGTTAAGTAAAAACATAGGTTTTAACAGAAACCTGATTAATTTGGTTTAAACGTATCTAGATACTTGAAAGGAGCTCTGGTGGTGTAGTGCCTAAGGCATCTGACTGCTAACCAGCAAGGCTGGCAGTTCAAGCCCACCAGCCACTCCTCGGAAGGAAGGTTGCACAATTTACTTTCACAGTGATATCGCCTCGGAAACCCAAGGAGGGGTCGCTGAGTTGGATCCGACTCCATGGCAGTGAGTTTGGTTTTGGTTTGTTAGATGCTTAAAAGTAATATATGTTGACTGTATATATATATATTGTACACTGTCCATTTTAAGGCTTTTCCTGTATAAGAAGTATACTTATAGTACATTCAAAACCTATATGGCACAAAGCAAGCTGTAAGATATTTGTATCTTACATATATCTTGTATGTAACTGTAAATATGTATGTAGACTGTAAAAATAGAAGATATTTATTATATAAACTGGTATTAGAAAAAGTTCCCTATCTAAAACCTACAAGCCAAAAAAAATCCCCCAGTTTTTAAAGACCAGAGTCAATAACCAATAGATCATATTCTTAGAAGCATAATCTCTTACCCCTTCTGGTACAAAAACCTTATCACAGCCACTGCACCAGAACTTAACAGACCCAATCTCTAGAGCCAGAACTAGAGACCCCACCCTGAACCAATTTCAATCTCCCTTTTCTAGGAAGACAAAGCTTACAAATTTAACACATATCTGAACTAGCATTCCTCAAGTTTTATAGTTTTAAATTAGCTTTAAGACTAAAGTGAAATTCATTTTAAAAAATGATTTAAATAAATAAGAAGCCTGAGTGATTTCAAGTCTGCAGAAATGGTAGAATAGAATTTGTAATTAAAATCCATAGCAAGCAGATGTTATTTCTATTTCAACCCTCAGACACAAAATTATAACAATAACATAAAAGAAATCAAAAGAAAAAATTACATCCGAGGGAATTTCCATTCTAATCTCATCATTTAACTCTGTCTTAATCTTATCATTTAACTCCATGTCTGTGAAGACCACACAAGTTATTCCTGAAGTTTTATATGTAACAAATTTGAGTCATTCATTCAAAATGGCCTCACAGGGGACAGACATTTTAGTCAATAAACATTTGGAGTACACCAAAGTTCAATGCAGCACTTTTCACAATAGCTAAAATATGGAAACCACCAAAATGTTCATCAAAAGATGAGTGGATAAACAAGATGTGGTATATACATACTATGGTATATTATTTATGAAGAGAAATGAAATCCTGATGTAAGCCATGAGGTAGATGAACCTTGAAAACATTATGCTTAGGGAAACAAGTCAGCTGCAAAAGGACAACTATTGGACGATCTCACTTATATGAAATAAGCAAATATAAACCAAAATTATTACTAGTATCAGGGGAGAGAAGAGGGTTTTTGCTTAAAGGGCACCGAGTTTATGTTAATGGTGGTAGGAATAATTTGGAAAGGAATAGCAAGAATGGTTGTACCACATGAAGAATGTAATCAATGTCACTGTAATTCATGTAGAAATTGTTATAACTAGAAAAACTCACACACAGTAAAGAAGTTTTCTATTTAAAAGAATCCCTTTAAAAAAAAAAAATCCCTTAATGAATTTTCTTCCAACTCAAATCACTCTAATAAATAACATCATCCTGTCCATAAACAGGTAGTTCTATTAAAAGATCACATCTAAATACCAAACAACACTTATTTGGTTTATTTCAAAATAATCACAAGAAACACAAGCACCAAATACTGCCTTGATTTTTATGCATTTTAGATGTTTCCAGTGGTAGTTAAAAAAATCAACTTCTCACATTAATAATAAAAATTATGGTAAGCAAAACATAATCCAATGTACTTTGAACCATAAAATGGATCTGAAATGTCTTTCACTGAGCCAAAAGATGGAAGACAAGGAACAGGCAAAGAAACTAGATAGACTACAGACCCAAAGTTCTTTAAAATACAATATCTAATTTATAAATTCTTGAAATAGGACATCAATTTCTGTTTAATTAAAAAAATATTATTATCTTGAAATCTCAAGCTGCTTTGGTGAGTCTCAAAACCAGGGATTTGATACAGCTAAAGAGGAATTGGGTACCAACATATATTTTCGATTACGCATAACATACTCAAAACTGTCATTCTATTTTACTTAAAATAGGAATAAACCACCTCGTTTGATATTGTGGACAAGCCCACTCCAATTCAGAAAACACGCTACTGTCTCAACTATTTGGAACTCACATAAAATTAAGTTCCTCTGACTGTCTGATGCTGTTTTAAGACCCTTCACCGCCCAAAACTTCACTGCCCTCTTTTTCTCCAAAATGAGCCAGAATCCAGTGCCTGCCTTTGCTCATCAACATTCCTCTTGTTTCTTAAGGGCCATCTCTATGAACCGTCTCTGACTGACAGCTCTCGCAATTTCCCTATCCTGTAACAAAACCTCCCCAGAGCCAGGGCAACAACATAATAAAACATATTATTGGTGGCAATTAATTTGTTGTGGTTAGGTGCCGTCATGTTAGTTCCGACTCATAGCAATCCTACATGTCCAAAGTACATGAGGGAGTAAAAATATCTTAAAAGTACTGTGACATGTTTGATACACACGAGGTTCCACATGATATGAAAAAGAATATAATGAAAACCCTGTACCTCATCTTTTCCCATCCTAGTCATTATTCAGGTTTATCCTGAAATTCTGGACAAAGATTAGGTTGTAGGAAGATTTTTGAAAAAGAAAAAAACTGTAAAGTTTACCAAATAGGGCTCAGTCTCAAGCAGTTGTTTGTAGGTACCCATTATACAAACAATTTCCCTAGACAACTGTGCATTTATTAGGGAGAAAAGAAAAGATCACAAGAACCTACAAAACTTCTGCAGGATCCTCAGAACTCTTAAATGGTTGTATATACCTAGAATCACTTGATAAGGGATGATCAAGGTCTTTCCTAACTTCAAGAGTCTAACATTATAGGCTTAAAATAAAAGAGCAGTGAAGGAAACTAAATCAAAGAAAATAAGCAGGATCTTTAATTTCATAGTTCTCTGAAAAGAACTTAAGCCGTAGCAGCCTATTTGTGCAGAGCTCACACACACACACACACACACACACACACAGAAGAGTTCCAAAAGGCCTCAGACGATCATTTTTAACTGGCTCTCATTGTCTGATTTAGGTTTAGCTGGGGACCTTGCTCCATTACAGAGAAATACACTATCAGAAGCAAATAAATGCCTTGTAGGGCAAAGTTTCACTATCCAACAATCTTCAGCAACGGGCAGGTTCACAAGCGCCATTACTTAACAAAAACACTGCCATCAAAGAAAAGCTAACAGGTGCTACATATAGGCCTTTAAAGAGCTCTGGTGGTGCAGTGGTTAGGCATTTGCCTGCTAACCAAAAGGTCAGTGGTTGGAACTCAGCTGCTCTGTGGAAGAAAGATAAAGCAGTCTGCTTCTGTAAAGATTTACAGTCTTGGAAACCCAAGGTCACTATGAGTCGGAATTGACTCAATGGCAGTGAGTTTGGTTTGGTATACGGCCAGTCCTTTGAAAATAATTCACATAAAATAGATTTTCTTGTGAAGCATAATCAATTTATTATAAACCAAAACTGAGGGGGGGAAAAAAAATAGCAGCAGTGCCAACCATACTTTGTGATGCAAACTGTTAAGCACTTGACCAGCCAAAAGACTGGCAGTTTTAACCCACCCAGAGACAGGGCTGGTGATTTACTTCTGAAAGGCCTTGCTTGAAAACCCTATGGAGCAGTTGTACTCTGTACACATGGGGCTGCCATGAGTCTGAATTAGCAGCTAACTACAATAATATTAATTTTCACAGCAGAAAACAATTTTTAGAAATCGATCAGCTAAAATGTCTTTGTCAATGAGGTCAAACTTCCCCACTTAGAGACAACTGAATCAGCATTTAGTATTCCAAACTCAGTCTAAACTTAGAACGATGGTATCGGTATCAGGTGTCCAAATACTTTTGTTAACTGGACAATTCTTTTCTCTTTCAAAAAAAAAAAAAAAAAAAGGAATTAAATTCCATGGATAGGTGACATGCCCAAGGTCACTTCAAGCAGTAGGCAGAGGAAACGTGCTCACCGCAGTCCCATTAAACCAAAAACCAAACTCACTGCCGTCAAGTCTGACCCGACTCATAGGGATCCGGCCTCGGGTTTCCAAGGCAGTATTTCTACGGAGCTCTGGTAGCATAGTGGCTAAGTCACTTGCCTGCTAACCAGACGGCTGGCGGTTCAAACCCACCAGCCACTCCTCGGAAGGAAGGTTGGGCAATCCTACTTCCGTAGTGATACTGCCTCGAAAACCC